ATCCATCCGCTACACGCCTTGGCCGAAGAGAACTCGGCCAAACAAGTCACACAATGCAGTTTCTATGAATATTTAAATGCAAGCATCAAGATAAGCATACATGTGCGCGCGGGTGTACTCCAGGAGACTACTGTACGTGCGGTCCGCCACGCCAATAAAGAGCGCCTCTGTATCGGGGGAAAACGATATCCCCGCAATCTCGCCAAATATGTCAATCTCCTGTGCTCGGGTAAACCCGCTGCTCGTGTCGAAGACATGCACGAAGTCCGCTGGCTCGGCCATGGCCATGAACCTGGGCGGAAGGGGAGTGGTGGGGGGGGGAGGGAGGGATTTTGAGTTGATGTGCCATGTGCAAGCATGTGGTGAGGGTCTGAAGTGATGTGTCATGTGCAAGCATGTTGCGAGGACGAGTGAAAGAAGGGAGGGAGGGAGCAGGGTGACATGTCACATGGGAGCGAGCATGTGTTGTTGAGGGAGGGAAGCTCCTTGTGTGCTGACTCAGCCATGGCCATCACGATGGGTGGAGGGAGGGAGAGGCAGGGAGTGACATATCAGATGGGAATACGCATGTTGTGAAACGGAGTCCCACCTGCCATCGCTGGTGAATCTGAGTGACCGAATGGCCCCCAATCGCCCCTTGAGGGTGAACAGGGAGGAGTCAAGGCGTCGCCGGTCCCACACACGGCACGTGGTGTCCTGGTTGCCTGTGGCAAAGAGGTTGCCGCCCGGGTGCCAGGCTGTAGCAAAGGAGTAGTCCACGTGGCCCTGCATGCGCGCTACAACCTGAGAGGGCAGTGAGGGGGTTGAGAGGCAGGGATGGGGATGTGTGGGATATGGGGATGAGGGGCATGTGTGGAGCATGGCACACGAGACAGGGGAGAGAGGCAAGGAGGTTGGGAGGTGGAGAGACAAGATGGTAAAAAAGATGGAAGCAAGAAAGGGTTTGTAGAAAATACGGTGGGTAGGCATGGGTGGAATAAGCATGAGTGGGGTGAGCAGGAGGGCGAGATAGGAAAGGGATGGAGTGATGAGGAGGAAAGGGAGAGCAGGGGCGGAGTGGCCGGGAGGCACAGACCTTGCCAGAGGTGAGGTCGAGTAACAACGCCTCGGGGTCATCCCCCACCACTGACACCAGCGTGCTGTCCGGTGCCACTGCCGTGTGCTGATGGGCGTGGGAGAGGTGAGATGTGAGAGAGAAGAGAGGGTGGATGAGGAACAGGGTGAAGAGCAGAGAACAAGGCAACCATGGCTGCTTGTAGAGAAGGGATGGCAGGCTCACATTGACGGGCCAGGGGAAGGCGTGGCTCACATTGACGGGCCAGGGGAAGGCGTGGCTCACATTGACGGGCCAGGGGAAGACGTGGCGGGAGAGGATGGAGAAGGTGGCGACGTCGAAGTCCCTCACCACACAGTCGTTGTTGGACGTCAGCACGCTCAGTGCTCCACTGCGGGCGAGGGAGGGGCGAGAGTCGGAGAGAGGAGAGAGGGGTGAGCGACGGGAGAGAGGGCAGAGACGGGCGAGAGGGGAGAGGCGAGAGTGGGGAGAGAAAAGAGTGGAAGAAATAAGACGGGAGGGGATGGATGCGACGAGCAGCAGGGCAGGACAGACGCTTGCTGCAGCAGGACGTGCTCCAGCGTATGCTACACATGGCACCCTCACGACCCCTCTCCTCTCACCTGTTGGATCTAAAGATCTCAACGGCGTTCGTGATGGCACTCTCATCCCGGGATACCCGCCCTGTGAACGCCACTCCGGCTTCTGACCCCGAACCTGCATCCGCTTCCGAGCCTGTGCCGAGCCTGGTGCAGACCATCTCCCCATGAAAGCCCCCTGCTACAAGCAGCCCGTGTCTGACGCACATGGTGCTCACTTGTACCCGATCCACCGCCTCCCACACCCCCTCCTGCTGCTGCTGGGGAAGGGGCAGGCCCCCCGCTTCTCTCCCCAGTACCGTTCTACCCTCCTCTGTACCGCTGCTACTGCTGTTGCTTCTCCCAGCACCAGTGGAGCCTGCAGCGGAGGGCCTGGCCCCCGTGTAAATCGCCCGCGCAGACGGCTCCAGCTGCACTCCGCTGCGCTGATCCCCCCTGCCCGCTGCTGCACCCCCCCCGCCCCCCGCGGCCCCTGCGCCCCCTGCGCCCCGCGCGCCTGCTGTGGTTGTGTGGGCGTGAGGGGGGCCGTGGCGCCTGGCGACGAGGGGGTTTCCAAGGTCCAGGACCGGGGTGGACTTGCGCGTGAGCGGCGAGAAGTGGTTGATGACGTGGTGGTGCAGCGAGTACACGTCATGTGCTGACGTGGCCCACACGAGGTTGCGCAGCTGGAAGTGCACGATGGTGGACTTGACTGCACGCGTGTTGTGCGTGAACTCGTAGAGCGTGCTGCTCGTTGTCACCTGCTGCACTTCCTGGGAGAATTGACAGGCAAGACGGGGGGTAAGGCAGGAGGGAAGGAGCCAGAGGGGAGGGAGAGGGGAAGGGGGGAGGGGGGAACGGAGGAAGATGATGGGTAAATTGAGGAGGCCATATCTTGGAGGGTGGAGGGTGAGGCAAGATGCGGGTAAGGCAGGCAGACGAGGGGTTGAGAAGAGAACGGGGCTGGGGAGGGAGAAGGAGGAGGGAGACGGGAGGGAGAGAAGAGGTGCAAAACGAGGAGGAGATGAAAGAAACGGACAAGTATGTGACGCATGTGCGCGCACCTTGCCACGTTTACGCGCACATTAACACCCGCGCGCGCACCTTATCGACAACATCCAAGGAAACGTCGAGGTTCTTGTAGTTCTTGTACTGCTGCAGCCGCATCGCGCGGTATTTCTCCCGACTCAGGTGCAGCCGCTCCCACGGGATCCCCTGAATGTCCCGCCCCCGCCGCACCTGCCGCGCGCTCACGTCCTCCGGGCCTTCCAGCTACCATCAGGGTGAAACAGGGTGCGACAGGAGAAACAGGGAGGTGGGGGGAAGGGAAAGGGATTTTGTTTAGTTGATGAAGAAGCAGGATGCGCGGCGACGGGGAATGGCGCCGCGACCTGACCTAATCTGAATCAGGCTGGCGACGAAACTGACGGTAATTGTAATTGTCGCACGCGAAGGCGGCTGAATGAGATTACACCCCGTAAATGCGTAACACGGTAACACGCATAGGGAGCATGCAACGAACATGCATCCAGCGTGTAATGAGGCGATGAACACGCCACGCAACGGCCAATCGACGATCCGGAAACGTACGAGATCATTATCGTCGTCGGAGTTGTCTTGGAACGTCCGGGTACCGCCTCGCTGGCTGCCTCGTCGGCGCCATGAGAATCCGAAGTCGTCACCGCCCAGAACGCTCTCCTCGTCGTCGTCGTCACCGTCGCTCGCTGCGAGCGATTCGTCCGTGTCGTAATACACCTGCCGTTGCTCCGGATCGCCACCGGCGGGACCCGCGTCGTAGTAAACTCGGCGCTGATGTGTACGAGTATAGCCGGCATTCGTGTTCTCGTGCTGCTCCGTGTAGCGATAGTCGGAGTTCGAGTTCTCGTGCTGCTCCGTGCGGCGATATTCGCCGCCCGTGTCCTCCTGCTGTTCCGAGTAGCGATAGTCGGCATCCGTGTCTTCGTGCTGCTCCGCCATGTCCGTATCGCTCGCATCGCCCATCAGCTGATGCCAGAGAGCGTACGGAGAATACAGCGCGGTAAAGAAGGACGGAGTGGAAAAGAGATGACGACAAGCGCGTAACGAGATTCACTTGAGCTCAAGAAAGGAAGAGTGAATGACATGATGCACGATATGATAGCAAACGTCGTACAGTTGTATGGAAACTAGCGAGTAAAACATTGATAGCCATAAGAGCCAGCGGAATGCACCAACCTCGAAGTCATCCACCTCAGGCATCACTCGGTCTATTCGCTTCCCTCTTGGATTCCACAATATCGCACACAACCAGAGATAAGACGGGCCGAGATTAAAGAGTCAGGCCTTGCGCCGAACTAATATTTTCGACAGCTGAGAGAACTCCGGGACTTTCCTGGCTAATGGGGCTTCCGTTTGTGAATGCTTCCGTCAGTTCTACGTTATCTCCTAGAAGCTGCAATTTTGGCTGGGGATGCTCACTGCTCAGATGCTCGAAACCCCACTTAACCGTCTTGAAAGCTAAAAATGAACATTCAAACGCAAAATGCAACTCTCTGAACCCCACAACACATGGCCTCATGAGAAATCTAGGTATGGTCCGTGTCACTGTAGCACGGCACAACAGCAGAACATATGGGGAAAGCAGTGTGCAGGAAGGGAATGACGGGACGGAGTCACGGGACGGACGGACAGGACGGAGAGAGGCATATGACTGGATCCCTGCGATGTGCTTTGTCGCACATAGGGCATTGTCAGAAAAGAGACCCTGGGCGAGCGAGAAGTTGTTCGCATCGCAGCACCCTGGGCCATGCGACCAGACCGTTTGTCGCTGGCGAATGAAATCACGGTTCATCGAGAAATTAATTTACATCGGACGGCTTCAGTCTGCTCTTCTGGCTTCAATTTTCTCGCTGCAATGGAGGGTGGTGGGGTGGCGTTGTCGTATTGTCGAACTGCAAATTCGCATCCGTCGCATTGGCCCTTCATCCTTGTGCCGAAGCTACACCTTTCAATGCAACGTAATACATTGCTAGTTCAGTACTAAACAAATAATTCGAGTTTCTACAAACGAGAATGCGCACCTCCATAACTCGAGCATTGGTGCATCTTGGGAACATCATCCATCACCCATGAGATGGCTGTCCTCAATCAAGCTCCACGCTGCATGCCTTGATATCAAGCATTTCAGGCTACAGCATTTCAGGCATTTCAGGCATTTCAGGACTACAGCATTTCAGGCACAGGTTCAGGGCAGGACGACGAGGCTGACAAGCTCCTCTCCTGCTCTTCTCCTTTATGTCATTCCTGCGCCGGATTCATTTTATCGCCTTTTCTACCTTCATTGGTTTGATATCAGGGCCGATTCCCCGTGCTTTCGTCAGATTGTCAGAATGCCTAGTCGTAGTAGTAAGAAGCTCAAGGAGAAAGACATATCTCCCAATCATTCCATGTCGCCTCGTCAGTTCGCCGCGTTGACAGCCGTATGCGACACGCTCGTATCCTCCATGCCGGTTCCGACTGACTCTGACGACCCGTACTTTCAGCTCGTCGGGAAGCGAAAGGAAGGCGCGCAGTCGGATAGCCGGTGGAGCGAGTTTTACGGCGAGCCGCGGAAGGAGGCCATCGCGGCGTACTTCGCGGAATCCGCGTCTAGCCTTGGTGTCGTCGACAAGGTTCGTCGGACCGTTGGTAGAGTCCTATCGGACATTCTTTATGGGTAGCGGCGAACCGCGCGTTACCATACTCGGCGAAATTCGCAGAGGCAAGGTAGAAATACGCACCTCGTATGGCTCCTGTCGTATGGCACTGCGCGTAGCCATTGCCTCTGCGCGTCTTCAGCACGGTCGTATGGCTCCACTCCACTCGCCCTTTTTAAGTCATCTCAAACCTTGATGCCTTGGCCCCCCCTTCGTTCAGGTAGCGACGACAATGCAGCAGTGCCTGAAACCCCTGCCTCTGGTCGTCTTCAGCACGGTCTTATGGCTGCTCTCCACTCGCCTGGGCACGCTGCTGCTGGCCGGCCGCAGGGCCTTCACCAAGCGACCGCCGTTCCTGCAGCCCTTCGCGAAGCTGACGCCGCAGGCTCGTGAGGCCGTGCTGCTGCGGTGGTCCGTGAGCAGCAACTTCCTGCTGCGCACCGTGTTCAAGGTGGGGAGTAGGGAGGGGGATAAGGGTGTGGGGATAAGGGTGTGGGGGAGCTGGTAACGAAGGCTGACGCCGCAGGCTCGTGAGGCCGTGCTGCTGCGAGGGTCTGTCAGCAGCAACTTCCTGCCGTGCACTGTGTTCAAGGTGGGGAAGGTGATGGCGGATAGTGACTGACAGCAGGAAGGAATCGTGGTATTCATGACTGCGTCAGGCTCGCGAGGCCGTGTGGATGGTCTGTCAGCAGCAACTTTTTGCTGCGGACCTTGTTCAAGGTGGGGATCAGGAGGGGAAGGGGGGGAAAAGAGATTTGGTGACGACGTATGGTGACATCGATAGGGAAGGAAAGAGAGCGAATCCTTCCATAAGCTGTGTGTGAGGCAGCTTCAAAGTCACGGGTGATGATGGGTGTGCGGTGCAACCCGAGACTCAATCATGCTCTGATTAGGGAAGCATTCCATACCGTGTATGACTCAGTTTCGTGCAAGCATTTTCATGTGAGTGAACCTCATGCTTGCTGACATTTCTCTTCATCATGTTCGTGCTCCCTGTGTCTCCCCTTGTCTCTCACAGACGTTCCGCAGCTTCACACTCTTCCACGTGGGTGCACAGGTGAGCCTCCTATCCCTCCTTCCATGCCATGCCCCAGCTGCGCTCTCTCCCCTCCCCATGCAACGCAATCCCTACTCACCCTGCACTGCAACCTGCCGCTCCTTCGTTTCCCAATCTTTCTCGTTTTTAACCCACCCTGCAACGCGCCGCTCCCCCACGCTACACTCCTCGCTCACACTTCCCTCCTCATACCCCCCATTAATCAACCAAGAAGCTCCCTTGCTGTGATAGGCGAGGCACATAGTTGGCACCATCCTCCCAGTTGGCACGTATGGAATCTGTGTTTGAGACATGCGCCTTGAGAAAGTGATTGCCTTAAGTTGTAGCATCGCTGTTGAGCCAGTCACCTTTAATGCACACAAGCAACCCATGCAGCCCATGCAACCCATGCACCCCATGCAACCCATGCACCCCATGCAACCCATGCAACCCATGCATCCCATGCATCCCAGCATGACGGCTCTGGCGACAACATGCAGTGGCGAGCCATGGGGTACTGTGGACCGGATCCCAACATGCTGGCTGCTGGGAAGAAACGCAAATACACCAGCAGCAGCAGCCGAGACAGCTCAGCTGCTTGTGATCCTGACGTGGCACAGCGGCCAGCTCAGCATGCTGACGTGGCACAGCGTCCAGCTCAGCGATCCGACAATAGCGAGGAAGAAGCTGAGCGTGAACAGGGAACGATCAGAGGGGGCAGTTGTGATGATGGGTGTGAGGAGAAGGGAGGCGAGGCGAGGCCACTAGACGCAGCAGTGGTGGACTGTGCAGCAGAGGGCGAGGGGCTGGCAGCAGTGCTGCAAGGCAAGGGCGTGGAGGTGCTGCCAGGGCCGAGGCAGACGATAGGGCTGCTGAGCAGAAGAGATCACGGGGAAGGAGAGGTGGGTGCCTGGGGTGAGGTGATGTGTGTGCACTGTGCAGTGGGTGGGTGGTATAGAGGGAAACGCTCTTGAGATGAACTCACACAACCCCCACACTTCCCTTACACCTCTCACACCCTCCACCTTGTGCCATCTTTTCTGACCGAGTGCTGTCAGTTATCAGCCCCTTTCTTTCCCGTGTCTACTGCTCTGCACCCCTTCCAACCACACACCTTGTCAGCCTGTGGTCGTGCGGTGTGATGCGGTGGTGATCGATTCCGGCTGTGGAGGAGCCATTATCGCAGCTCAGCTCGCAGAAGCAGCAGCAGCAGCTGGTGGTGACAATGGTGGGGGTGGCAGTGGGCAGCAGAGGAAGGTGGTGGTGCTGGAAGCGGGGGGTTACTTCTTCCGCTCCGACTTGTCTCTCCTCGAAGCTCCCTCCGCCCAGATGTGAGTACTCCCTAATTGCGACTCAGCTAGCAGAAGCAGCAGCAGCCGCTGGTGGTGGTGATGGTCGTGGGGACGGCAGCAGGCAGCAGAGGAAGGTGGTGGTGCTGGAAGCAGGGGGTTACTTCTTCCACTCGGACCTGTCTCTTCTCGAAGGACCCTCGACTCAGATGTGAGTTCCCCCTTTCCTTCCTTTGCTTTCATTCCCTTCCACTTTCTTACATCTTCCAATTCTCTCTCCCTCCTTCTTCAGGTCTGGCTCCATGCTCGTCCCCACCTGGTACGACGCACAGGGAATGGCGGAGGCTGCTGGCAGGGAAATTCTTGGGTCAAGTCGTCGCCATTGCTTCCTCTTTCCACTCCCCTTTCTCATCCTCCCTTTTCAACCTCCCTGTGCACGATCCTCCCCACCAGGTGCGACACGCAAGGCTTTCTCACCACCGAGGATGGGGGGATTGCACTGCTGGTAGGGAGAACAGTGGGCGGAGGCAGCGCTGTCAACTGGTCTGCATCCTTCCGCACACCACCCCATGTCACCAAGGAGTGGGCCAGCGAGTATGGGCTCAAGGTGAGGTTGCTCTGTGCCTGAGGGGAGGGAGTGTGTTTTTCTTAATCAGAGTGGTGTGTTTGCGACTAGTCAGCAAGCAGGGAGGGCAGTGGGTGGGGGCAGCGCTGTCAACTGGTCTGCATCCTTCCGCACACCGCCCCATGTCACCAAGGAGTGGGCCAGCGAGTATGGGCTCAAGGTGAGAAGGCGTGGGATTGTCGAGATGCGGATGAGCATTTGAGTGCAATTTTTTCTTTCGTATAAACCGTTCTTTTTTCATGGATGGTGTGACGTAGAACGCTCTGTGATCCCGTGCCACCATGTATTGTATGCCATGTGAATCACCTCTGCACGCGTACAGGGCTCTCTCTAGTGTCCCTGTCACTCATTTCCCCTCCTCCCGCCTACTCCCCTTCTCGTATCTGTTTCGCACTGCTGGCAGCAATTTGAGTCGCAGGAGTATACAGCAGCCATGGATGCCGTGTGTGAGAAGATTCAGGTGCGTGAAGCGAGATTGAGCCGTGCTCTTGAGCTGCTCATGAGCCGTACGTAAAGCTGTCTTTCTACTCAACGCCTTTTTTCACTACCCTTCCACCCAGGTCAGATCCCATACTTGTTTCCTCCTTCACATGAACCATCGCATGCGTCTCCCCTGCTGCCTCTCCCCCCCACCCAGGTCACAGCGGACGAGTCCCTCACCCCGCACAGCCTGAGCAACGCGGCTCTCAAGGCGGGGTGCGCAGCTCTGGGCTGCCACCATGCCATCACCCCCCGCAACACCAACCAGCCGCACCCCTGTGAGTAGATACCCATGCCATACTGTCCTGTGAGCCCCGTTCTGCATCCACACATGCATCCCCACCCGCATCCCCACCCGCATCCCCACATGCATCCCTACTTGTATCCTGCCATGCATCCCCACATGCATCTCCATAAGTGGCAGAGTTTCCAGGGGGTATCCGCACCCAGTGCTCTCAAGCCTCATCTCCCTCGTCCCTCTCCTCGTCCCAACTCTTACTCTCTCCCCTCTCCACATCCCCCCTCTCGTCGTCTCCCCCTCGGCTATCCACCCCTCCCAGGCGCCTGGTGCACCTTTGGGTGCTGGTCAGGCGAGAAACAGTCGATGCTGGAAACCTGGTTACCAGACGCCGTTACACACGGCGCCCTCATCCTCTCCCGCTGCGCCGCCCTCCGCCTCCTCCTCTCCCCCAACCGCCCTGTGAGCAGCAGCGCGGGTGCTGGCATGAGACAGAGGAAGCAGGTGGTGGGGGTGGAGGCGAGGGTAGAGCAGCAGGGCGTGCGGCAGAGAGTTGTGGTTGAGGCCAACCTGGTCGTTGTGGCGTGTGGCAGGTGGGTGGCGTGTGGCAGGTAGGGTGGCGTGTGGCAGGTGGGTGGCGTGTGGCAGGTGGGTGGCGTGTGGCAGGTGGGTGGCGTGTGGCAGGTGGGTGGCGTGTGGCAGGTAGGGTGGCGTGTGGCAGGTGGGTGGCGTGTGGCAGGTAGGGTGGCGTGTGGCAGGTAGGGTGGCGTGTGGCAGGTGGGTGGCGTGTGGCAGGTAGGGTGGCGTGTGGCAGGTGGGTGGCGTGTGGCAGGTAGGGTGGCGTGTGGCAGGTGGGTGGCGTGTGGCAGGTGGTGGCAGGTGGGTGGCGTGTGGCAGGTGGGTGGCGTGTGGCAGGTGGGTGGCGTGTGGCAGGTGGGTGGCGTGTGGCAGGTAGGGTGGCGTGTGGCAGGTGGGTGGCGTGTGGCAGGTAGGGTGGCGTGTGGCAGGTGGGTGGCGTGTGGCAGGTAGGGTGGCGTGTGGCAGGTGGGTGGCGTGTGGCAGGTAGGGTGGCGTGTGGCAGGTGGGTGGCGTGTGGCAGGTGGTAGCATGCAGCGTCTAGGCCCTTGTTATTCGGCCACATCCCACGCCCTACTCACGCCATGATCTAGAGTCAGATATGAGAGCGATCAAAACTTTGAAAAAATAGAAATCTTAAAGGTCACCTCACAAGGGATACTGCTGTCAGCAAGCTCATCAACTGCAGTCGCGTGTGCTGTGCTGTTCACTGTGCTGCTACTACCCATTCTCCGCTCAACACACTTGCCCTGCCTTACCCCCTTCTCACCGCCCTTACCACACCCCTGGCCCCCACCAGTCTGCACACACCCCCACTGTTACTCGCCAGTGGTCTCACCAACCCCGCCATCGGAGCCTCGCTGCGCCTGCACCCCGTCACCTCAGCCTGGGGCTTCTTCCCCGAAACCGCCCCCTCCCTGCCGCCCGCCCTGCCCGCCGGCGCGGGCTATTTGGGGCCGATCATGAGCGTGAACTCGAGAGAGACGGCTAACTGGGAGACAAGTGGATATGGTGCCATGATTCAGGTAAGGGCGCAGGTGCAATCAGGTCATATGATTCAGGTCATATGTGTTAGAAATAGTCAGTCAACACTTTGTACTATATTCTATATCGGTTAGGTTACTTTGTAGGTTGGGTGTAGATTTGTAATCCCAACCCTATCTGGTTGGGATTCCCTCGTAATCCTGCAAATCTGCCAACTCACCAATTGGAGATTTGCTAGGATTCCCATCCCATCCTTTCCCTAGCTTTGCTCAACCCAACCGTGTTTGTACTTAAGGCCTCGTGCCTTCCTTATCAATCAATCAGTTAAGTTCCATTTCTATCAATATGATTCAGGTCATTTGATTCAAAAAAATGGTGGAGGTCATATTAATCACGTCACATCTGTGGCCGATCAATCAGCAATGCCTTTCCTCCACCATTAGCAGTGCGCTTCGACCGCATTGCCTCGCTCATCTCCATCGTCAGGGACCGCGGCCACGGCACCCTGTGATTCTCCTCCTCCCGCCAACCCCCTCCCGGCATGCCTCCTCTGCTCGCTGCCCCCCCCTCCAGACCCCCACCATGCACCCGGGTCTGCTAGGCTGCGCTATACCCTGGCTGGGCAGTCAGAAGGTCAAGCAGTCGGCAGTACGTTTCGACCGCATTGCCTCGCTCATCTCCATCGTCAGAGACCGAGGGCGCGGCACTGTGCGCACGGACGGCAGCGGGCGGCCTGTTGTGACGTACCGGCTGGGCAAGGAGGACCAGAAGAGCATGCAGGTGGGATGTAAGGGAGTGGAGAGTGGATAAAGGGGCTGGGGGGAGGGAGGGGGGGGAAAGGGTGTGAGGGGATGGAGAGGGATATGGGAAGGTAGTGCAGAGATTTTAGTCGACTCAAAAGTCACCCCAGCTGGGCAAGGCGGGTCGATTATTGTGCTTGCAAGTCTCTCGTGCCAAACAACTCTGGTCTCTCTCCCCGTCTCCTTCTACTTGTTCCCCAATGCACTATTCATGATCTGCTACCCATCACCAGGAGGCGCTGCTGCTGTCGCTGCGCATCCTGAGAGCAGCGGGAGCAGTGGAGGTGGGCACGCTTCACCAGTCACTCAAGCCCTTCCGCTGCCTCGTCCCACCCACCGTTGACGCCGACACAGCTGATGGAAACCTGCTGGCAGCGAACGCCAAATTGAATGGCAGCGATGGTTTGGAGGGGATGGATGGGTGGCAACGCACGTCTGATGTGGAGTTTGAGGCGTATTTGAAATCTGTGGTTGCGGTGGGCTTTAAGCTCAATGATTGCACGCTGTTCTCGGCGCACCAGACTGGTAGCTGCCCCATGGGTATTTCCCCGAGGAGCTCTGTTGTGGATGAGAATGGGGAGAGTTGGGAAGCGTCTGGGTTGTTTGTGGGCGATGGAAGTGTGTTTCCGACGCCTGTGGGCGTTAATCCTATGGTGTCTATTGAGTCAGTGGCGTTCATGATCGGGAAACGGCTAGCAGAGAGATTTAGGAATGGGGAATTTAGTGAGTGAAACGGAATTGTCACCCCGTTTTGAGTAGAGATGGGAGACGTTGAGAATGGTGATGATTAAAAAACTATCGCACTACTGGATGAGCCCATAGCGAGCACAGATATCGCCTATTCTGATGTATCGGTTTGGACGTATGTGGGGTGCCTGCCTGTCGGCTGGATGAATGAACTTGGCTCGGCTCGGCATCCCCACTGTACACTTGCTTCGTCAACGGTCTGTGGCAGTTTGTCTCGTCTTGCCAATGTTCGGTACAGTACGGTTGAGAGCGTCAACCCTTGGATATTTTGAGTTCAGTGGGGGGACTTTTCCGCATCAGATGGAGCAACCAGTTTGCTTGCTTGCAAAACGTTACCACTGTAGGTGCATGCACTGTTGGTGTATCAGTCAACGCCAGCTGGTTGCAGCTTTTGGTATGTTTCGTTCCTCGCACAGTGCTTGACCTGCAAGTTTTTTTTTTTTTTTTTTTTTTTGATGCAAAATACACTAAAAAAGTGCAAAATACATCGGCAGTCGTAACTGTAGCTGATGGGCCTAGGGGGATATCACCCTCCGTACCCATCCTGAGCCTCTAAGGGGGACGGAAAGCAGCCCTCGGGTTCGACCAGATGGCCATGAACCCTTTAGACCACGTGGCCGGTTGTGCTGTGTTGTCGGGGATGTGACTCAAGACCCGGCACTCGTCATCATCCAGTCCAGGACGAGTGGCACCGAGCCTCTTGGATGCCGCCTTGGCACGCTTGTAAATTCTGACGTGCAGCTGGAAAGACGCCGCAATCCTCCGCAGTGCCCTTCTGGCTCGGAACTTACCCCGTTCAAAGACCGCATCACACCTCTCCACCCAGATTCGGTGAAGAGCGATCGCTGTAAGCGAAGCCTCGGGAAAGCCCGAAGCTGTCCCCTCCTTCTTGAAAACCAGGTCCCCCAGCGTTTCGATCTTCCGATGCGGATTCAGCATGCGGAGCGCGCCCGAACCACCGGCTGGATACGCGGGCAGAGAAACAGCCCGTGCTCCAGCGTCTCCCTCTCCCCGCAATGCGGACATGCAACACCAGTACCCAGGAAATGCAACCGCTCCCCCACCTGCAGGTTTCGGCTGTGGATCCGGAGCATCACGTCCCTCGCCCGGTTCGGAAGGGCCGTTGAGTCCCTTACGTCGATCACCCTCTCCCAGTCAATCTGACGGCCGAGGGTCTCCTCCCACGTGGCTTGCTGCTTCGGCTTCCCGCCCCACCGCTTGAAACCCTCCTTCAACTGTTCCAGCTGCGCCGGACGGTCCCCATCCCGGATGGGCGAGCACAACAATCTTGCTTTAGGGGCGCCAGCAGGACCAAGAAAACGGCCCTCCCTGACCACCGCAGGTATCACCTCGCGCGGCTGGAAACTGCGCAGCTTCTCCTCCGCATCTCCCAGCGCCCCCCGAAAACAGCTGATAGCTCGGCAGACTAGGGTTTCCCCCTCTACACATTCAATCCTCCAGACCCCGTGGCTCGTCCCTGCCTTCAGCACGAACTTAGAGGCAGCTAGCACCGTATGCGCCGTGACAGGCGCCAGCAGCAACTGTTTCCACTCATCCGGGGCAGCGTCAAAAACCTTCTTCGCCAGCTTCGCCCTTGCTGAACCCCCGAACTCCCGCTCGAGCTCCTGGGTGCCCTTAAGAGCCCTCGAACCGTCCTCGACGACATTAATTAAGTCCTTCATGACAGACCGCTTCAGACCTTTAGCCGCCTTCTGCCGTCCCGCAGGTGTCTTCCCGTTTAGAAGCAGCCTCCGATTGAAGAGCAGCAGCTCCTGTTCCACATCCCAAACCGACGACACGCTGATGCACGAGGGGAAGCTAGACTCCAGGAACAGCTCGCAGGTCCGCTTCCACCTCATACACCTCCCTTCCCAGTGCTTTATCAACCCCGTGTGCGCCCAGAAAACCTGAAGATCAGGGACATCCAGTGCTGCTAGCGCAAGATCGGCGCGCAGCCCCAGCGGCTGTGACGCCAGCAATGCGATCCTCCTGGCTGCCAGGCCCCCCAGCTCAGCACACGGGTCCCGGACACCAAGACCACCTTCTCCTCTCCCCTTGAACAGCAGCTCCTGACTCCAGAGCGCAAACTGTTTCCCCGCCGTCGAGTGGTTACCGGTGACGAAGTTGTGAAGCAGCTTCACCAGCTTCGCCCAGATCTCTGTTGGAGGGGGATAGACCTGCGCCTGGAAAGCGAGGATCGGGTTGATGTACCCGTTGACCACTGCGACCCTGCCAGACGTAGTCAGGTAATGAACCTGCCACTTCACCAGCTTCGATGTCGCCCTCACCAGGGTGATTTCCCAGGTTACCGATGCGTCTCCTGAGGGTGAGACCCACACCCCCAGGACCCTTTCCGCTTCGCTCGACAGCACCCATTTGAAAGCTGATTTCTTGTCTGGCTTCTTACGCAGGTTCCTCCCCAAGGGCATCAGCGCGGACTTGTCATTGTTAACCCGGAGCCCCGATTGATCTCCAAACTCGTTCAGCAGCTTCACCGCTCGTCCAACCTGCCCTTTCCCCTTGAGCACCAGCGTGGTGTCGTCAGCGTACCCCAGGTACGCGAGTCGTTCGCCGTACGGGTTGCTGATCCCAAGTTTCCTTCTTTTTGCTTCCTGGCAGAGAGGCTCAACCGCGCAGAGGAAAAGATACGGCGCCAGAGGACAGCCCTGCCGCACCCCCTTCCTGACCGCTACCGGCTCCCCCAACCATCCGTTGAGCAACAGCCTCGTCGTTGAACCCGCGTGAAGGCCTTCGCACCACTGCACAAACCGCCGCGGGAAGCCCATTCTCTCCATTGTGCCGAACAGGTACTCGCGCGAGACTGAATCAAAGGCCTTTTGAAAGTCCACCAGAAGTAAATACCAGTCTTCATCTTTGCACTTCGCCGCCTCCACTATGTCTGCGATCAACGAGACTCCGTCCGACAGCCTCCTCCCAGGTAAGAACCCATATTGCTCCTCTGAAACAACCGCATGTAGCACCTTCCGCATTCTATTTGCCAGCACCCGCGCCACTAACTTGTATGTGCTGTTGAGCAACGTGATCGGCCGGTAGTTCTGCACCTGGTCTTTCGCGCCTTTTTTGTGTAACAGGACCGTGACCGCCTCCAGAGCGGCAGGGGGGAGGACAGCAGATTCCTCGAACTGCTTCACGAAACCAAGCACGTCTCCTCCCAGCAAGTCCCAGTGCTCACAGAAAAACTCCTTCGGAATCCCGTCAGCCCCAGGAGATTTGCCTTTCGCCATGCCGTCCAGAGCCTCCCTCACTTCCGCTTCAGACCATTCTGCTGACAACAGCTGGACCTGCGCCTCACCCAACCTTTTGTCAGGAGCAATCTGCCAACGTGGACCACCCGCCGAGGTGGGTTCCGAAAACAGCTCCGCATAAAACTCGGATGCGGCGTCGAGTATCCCCTTAGAGTCCTTCCGCACCGTACCCTTCCACTGAAGCGCTGTGATCATTGTTCTCTCCTTCCGTGTCTTGACTTTTGCAGACATGAGCTTGCCAGGCATCTCTCCCTCGCGCAGCTCCTTGGCACCCATCATGAGCGTGAGCCTCTCCTGCTCAGAGGCGAGGTATGCCGCCAGTTGAGATTCCTTGGCTCTCAGCTCCTCCCTCCGGGCCGAGCAGTAGGGATTCCGCATCACTTCCTGCTGCAGAACCGCCACCGCCGCATCCAGGTGACGCAGAGTAGCTTTAACCCGCTTCCGCTCTTCCGTAGAGTACTTCCGCAACGCCATATTCACTTTCCTCATGAGCGCGGTAAAGTCCCCCGTCCCCGTTTTCCCGTGCTCCTCTCGGACTGCGGCAACCGCTTTTGCCGCTCCCGGCTTGCTGACCTCTGCTGCCTTACACCTCCATGTGCCAGGCCCCATACATAATTGCAGGCTGACTTTGAAGGTCACCTTAACCCCGAACCAGTGATCCGAGAGGCCTTTCAGCGGACGACAATGCGACGCATCTGTGAGCAACGGCATCAGCGGCGCTGAGACGAGAGCTCGATCAATACGTGAGCTGGTCTTGGCAGACCTGGATAGAAAAGTGAACTCCTTCAGCACCGGATTCATCCAGCGAAAAGCATCGGCAAGGCAGTGTGCAGAGCAAATCTGCATAACGCTGCTATTCTCGCCCGATGAACCCGCTCCGGACGACCTGTCCAGCAGAGGGTCCTCCACCATGTTAAGATCCCCTATCAGAATGAATTTTTTCTTCCCCGCAGAATTCGCCATGAAAGGAGCAAGCACGCCAGCATAAAACGGTCGCCGCCTGCAGGCCATGAAAGGAGCAAGCACGCCAGCATAAAATAAGCGGCCAATATCGTGCAGCAGAAGGAGTCCCACTGGACATCAGCCTGAAGCAGCCGGCCCGAACTGTGCGCGACAATATTAGTGAAAACGAGAGACTTGTTAAAGCTTAAGATGGCTACCCCCCCTGCCTTCCCCGCAGGACCAATGGCGTGACAGTGTGGAACTTTGAGCCTCTTCCAGAAGTCGTGATCTGCACCAATGCGTGTGTCAGCTAAGACGAAAATGTCAGGTGGCTTCTTTAACCATGCCTTCAGATGTTTCTGTTTCCCTCTGCTCCCGAGCCCGTTGACGTTGAGCTCGCGTATTGTCAGGTAAGAGGCTCTATTCATTGGGAAACCGCCGAGAAGCCCCAAGCATCCACGGGCTGAGTGAGACACAGGCAACAGGCTCATATAAGGCAAATACAGACTCGAGTGACCCTAACGTGCAGACACATCCCCTCCTTATCCCTTCTACACCCCATAGTCCTTCTTCAGGTGCTTGAGGTTGATCTTCCCCTTCAGCAACCGGAGCGACTCCCCCCCCTTCGGGGCCCCATGGCGGTGCCGCTGGGACAGCGCATGATGTGCAGCCTGCTCGAACGAAGAACCATGAGCTTTCTCGCAGCTGTCCTGAAGACGAACCCACTCCTCCCCATTGCCGCTGGTGGAAATCAGCACCAGGGACAGGTCCTTGAG